GAAGCCAGGAGTCTGGCGAAAGCGGGGGCCGGGTATGTGCCAGCAATTACACTGGCATGCATATATGTGCGATACATAAGCCTCGTATTTGGACAATGGCTCTTAGTAAATGGATTTAATGGCTGCCAATAATGTTTCAGCTGGTTTTTTGAAAAAACCAGGGCCGCTGTCGCGCCCCAAACGCCCGGCAATTAGAACCGAAACAGCCTTAACATTATGCCCTGTCATGATTCTGATGTTACGCTCAACAGATGCGCCGCTGTTGGCAATGCGGAGTCTGACTAATGGAAAAAAGCGACGTTACCCAAGCGCAATGGCCAAGAGCATGGGAATTGGTTTATTGCCTAAACTGCTGCAAAAAGCCAAGTAACTTTAAATGCCCAAACAAGCTAAGAAGTTAATCGGAAAGACTTGAAAGAGCTTTCATGAATTGCAAAGGGCACATGCCAAGAAAGTACAGTTAAAACCGCGGTGCATTGATTAGCTTCTGGTGATGAAGCCAAAGCGAAAATCATTTTTTTTTCGAGGCTTTGGGCTGCAACCTTCCACTTCCTGAAAAAGTTCCTTAGCGCAACATTCAACCATCAACCCGATGATCCTGCGGACCTCCAGCATCTTTCTTCCACCAACTTCTCATCAGTAAATGAGTCAGTGGCATACTACAACCAGTCCCTTAACAGTCTCCTTGATCTGCATGCCCCCCTCAAAACCAGGATGGTCACCTTCTCGCGCTCAGCCCCTTGGTACACCGGCGAGCTGCGGAGAATGAAGACAGCTGGGCGTGTCCTTGAACGGCGGCTCAAGGCCTCAGGACTCACTGTTCACCGGTTAGCCTATCGTGAACACCAGAAGGCCTACGCACAGTCCCTCAGAGATGTACGGTCCCAGTACTACTCCTCCCTCATCAACAACAGTACTGGAAACTCCAAGCAACTCTTCTCCACCATAAACCCACTCCTCAAACCCTAAAGCCCTCTACACTCCGACTCCACTGAGCAGCAGTGTAGCAACTTCGCCGCCTTCTTCACTAACAAAGTTGATACCATCCGCTCCCTCCTCTCTAGCCCCTCTGCACCTCCAGTTCCAACTGCTGACCCACAGCCTGGGACAACCCAGCCTCTTCGCTGTTTCACGGTCATCTCTCAGCAAGAGGTTGAGGGCATCGTTAGGAGGATGAAGCCCTCCACCTGTGTCCTGGACCCCCTTCCGTCAGCTCTTGTGAAATCGTACATCTGTACACTGGAGCCCCATGATCACTTAAAATGATCGTAACCTGGCTCCGTCGCGCGCGCAGGCTGGCCAGTTCCCTCTCGCATAAAAAACGCCTGCTGTCATCAAACACTAGCATTCTCAAAAAACCATCCCTTAAGACCCCGGGAGTCCGGCCCAACTATAGAGGACCCATTTTCCAACCTTCGCTTTTCGTATCCAAGGCTGCTTGGAAAAACTAGGGTTCAAGTGGGACTTCTCTTCTCTCTCTCTGCTCAGCCCTTCCAGGCTGTCCACCTAAAACTCCAGAACAATCCTATGTTAGAAGTTCCTCGTGCATTAAGTAGTCCTGGTTTTTCTGGTCGGCCAGCAGTCCACAGAATACTGCCTCTGGCGTCAGTGTTTCACCAACGACCTGCTGATGACGGCTGATGCTGGCTTTCCCTCTCTCCTCATCCTCCTCGATCTCACTGCAGCTTTCGACACCGTCGATCACGGCATCCTCCTCCATCGTCTGCACTCCACCATCGGACTCTCTGACTCTCCCCTTGACTGGTTCAGATGATACCTCACCGGGAGAACAGAGTACGTCTCCTTGGGCGAGGCAGAGTCGGGTACCCACAACGTCACCTGTGGTGTCCCTTAAGGATCAGTTCTCGGCCCCACCCTCTTCACACTCTACATGTTCCCCCTTGGCTCTATCATCAGCCTACATGGAGTATCATTCCATTGCTACGCTGATGACACCCAACTGTACCTCAGGATCAACCCTACCTCCTCTGCAGCCCTGCCTTCACCCACACTCACTGCCTGCCTAGAGGAGATACAGGCATGGATAAAGCAAAACTTCCTGAAACTCAACAGCTCCAAGACCGAAGCCATTATAGTTGGCACCCCACACCAGGTTCGGTCATCCACCATCACCACCACCTTTGTCTCCTCCAGGCTGAACTACTGCAATTCACTCATCATCGGGATCCCTAACAAAAGCATCCAGAAGCTCCAATACATTCAGAACAGCGCTGCTAGGATCCTGATGAGGGTGCGCAAATATGAACACATCACCCCCATCCTTAAAGCACTACACTGGCTACCCGTAGAACTGAGGATCGAATTCAAGGTCTCTGTCCTCACCCACCAGTGTGTCCATGGAACTGCCCCTCCCTACCTCAAGGAACTCCTCACCCCCCATACCTCCTTGCGGACCACCCGCTCCAGCAGCTCCAACCTCCTCAAACCCCCCAGGACTAAGCTCCGTACCATGGGAGACCGGGCCTTCTGCTCGGCTGCTCCCAGTCTGTGGAATGCTCTCCCCGACCAAATGAGAGCACCACAGACCGTGGAGGCTTTTAAAAAAAGGCCTCAAAACCCATCTCTTCAAAAGAGCCTTTGCCTAGACCTTTTTTATCACCCTTTTATTTCTATTTTTTTAATTTTTGTATTGCTTTTTATTAATTCTACCGTGTTGTGTAATGTTTATTTATACTGTTCATGCTCACTGCTTGTAGCACTTCGGGATTTGAAATAAAATATGAAGTGCTTTATAAATGGAACCCATTATTATTATTATTAACAGACTGTGCTCTGGTTTCAGACAGAGGGTGAAAAGAGGTAAATAGAATTCTTATTACTTGGCCAATCAAGCTGATTCTAATGCCGTCTTAGAGTACAAAGAACAACATGATGATGACTTGTTTTGTTTCTGGCTTATCTTTACCACTTCTTATACGTGGTGAGCAAACAGGAATTCTAAAGAGGATTTTAGTGACTATGATTGGCAAATCTGTTGACTTTGTCATAAGATTGCACTGTTGGTTTGATGGATTTACTAATTGCGCGAGCCTTTCCATTGGTTTGTGATGAAGTGCCTGCAGGTGCAAACTGGGATGAGTAGAAATTGATTGCTTGCAGAAATTGCTTCTTACACAATTCAGATCAGCAAATGTGCGAAAAGGATGGCCGAGTTCTCACCTAACTGGCAAGAGATTTTCGAATATATACTAAAAGAGAATAAACACAAGGAGCTTTGAAAAAAAAAGCATCCAGTGAGCTGAACACGAGTGTATTTCTTAGGATTTCACTATTGATTTTATACTGGACGTAATCAATCATGTGATGTTGGGTTAACAGTCATTTGGT